CTTTAAGTACACTTGAAGTGAATGAGAACACAGGTGGGGCAACCGAATTGTATTTAACGAAAATTACAGAGTTACTCAGTAGAATCGGAAAACCATATCGTAAATCGTTCATTTGCAAAAGATCAGTTCATCATATGGAACTGGACTGTTCCTGTTGCCAAACATCAATCCATTGTCACTATTCATGCGTTTCATACAAATCCATTGTTTTCTAACTCTTCCTCTCTTGATCTTTCCCCCATATTATGCTACCAGACTTTACGTTGACACTCGCGTCATATACTACTTATAAGTAGTTCGCATCACAGCACCACACACTGTGTTAATTTGTAAGGTGCATGTTTCATACAAATACAAAATACAAATTGTTGTTTGAGTGATTTTGTTCAAATCACAAACCAAGTTTTTTGAAATAGATTCTCTAAAACTAACTTGCCAATAACAAAGCATTATTCACTTTGCTTTCTTCGTCCAAGGTAAAGGACTTCAGTTGTTCAGAACTTTTAGAAAGTAACAGGGTATAATATATCCTGAATTTGAAACTCGTCAAGCACTTTATCAGCCTCTATGGAAAACATCAGATCAATCCACGTTACGTAAAGACCACTGTTTATGTCATATTTAGAGTAAATCAGATATTAAAGAAACTAACAGTTTAACTAATTAGTTTAGCTATATTCCTTTATAAAACATATTCACTGTTCAATAGTAAAGTCATTAACTAATCATGTTAACTTTAAAACGATTTATTGTATCATAGTACACGAAATCTCATCGTCTGTTTATTTATAGAACAACTTATCTACTTTTGTGTTTGTGCAATATATACAATGACCTTGATGATCGCTAATCACTGTACAGACACGTCAGCCTCTCAATTACCAGCCCCACGGAATAGAGGAAAAAACAACGACTTATGAGTCAGACAGACAGATCAGATCGTCTTTTTATTATTTCAATCATGCCTTTATATACATGCAAAATCAGACTGCATCGTAAACCAATTAGAAAACTGACATCAATACAAAATAACAATAATAGTGAGTGTGAACTGGGGTAACGCATAGCAGTCAATTAACTATAGTTCATAAATGAGAAATGATATAACAACAGTTAATGCCTCAAACAAGAGTATAGGATAAGAGCAACGTCACAATAATAGGAATAAAATGCTTACTTTGTATACAACCAAAAATAATGAATCTTAAGCAGAAAAAACAGTTCTAGAAGATAGTCAATCTTCTTTAAGTGCCCGCCATAACATCTACAAAACATATATTGAATGTAACAAAAGTTTTATTGTTACTTTTCATTAAAAAATTTCATTATCCAAATAATAAGTGAATTTTCAAAATGTCTACCTCTACAACTTCAATGTAACAGCAACAACATTATCTATTTTTTTTTCATATTGAACACTGAAAATATTGTGACTAGGAGTCAAGTTTTATGTTTGTTTCATTCATAATGATTTTCAAAGCAAGTAATATTATTGAAAATTCCCTTTAATATGCAATAACAAGATTTTTTAAAAAAAATTCAATAATTATTGATACAACTACATACAGAAAAATTACCTAACGTTTTATTTCTAAAATTCATTCATTCATTCTAAAATTCATTCATTTCTAAAATTCATTCATTATTTCTAAAATTCATTTCTAAAATTCATTAGAAAGACGGGAAATTTGTTAAAACGTCATTTAGAGGTAGTTAGTTGTAATATTCTTTTGTCCATAAATAAAAAATGATCATATTCTTAAAGTTGAATAATAACAGCTGATATGACAAAACAAAAGTTTCCACATCATATGAATGAAAACAGATGATGTTTTAAAACCTAATGTTCCTCTGTACACTTCAGAAACGATTTAGTTTAGATCGAAAAGTAAAAGTGATATCTTTTTCTTTATTTACAGAGGAGATAATCAATATTGTTATTGGATGCCGGCCCAAGGGTCCGATGGTAAGGCGTTCGCCTACAATGCCGAAGGTCCTGGGTTCGAATCCTGCGAGGAGCATGAGTCGTGGATGCGCACTGCTGATGAGTCCCCTACCAGGACGAAGCGGCCGTCCAGTGCTTCCAGGTTTCTATTGGTGGTCTAACAATGATTGATTGATGATTTCAAATGTGTAAAAACGCAAACCTCCAAAACTCTGCCCCAAAATATTGTTAAAGTAAATTTTATCAGCTATTAGATAATCAACTGAACTATACATGCTTAGGAATTAAAACAACTATCATTCAAAGAATTTGTGAGTTTTAAGTGACCGTTGCAATTAGTTTCTGAAAGATTTCGTCATCATACCTCTAGGTTTAAACTAGAACTTAATTATAGGAATTAGCGAATGTATTGCTTTACCGAACAGATGAGTAACTCGTTCAAAAATTATATGCATTTTTCTACAAGGAACGACATAAAATAGTGCCATATTTGGTGCAAACAACTAGGAAAAATTTTCAATCAAATAGACTTTTGATACTGAACTTTCGGTTGAAAGGGTTATGAGAAACATAATACTAGACTATGAGCAAAAGCTGACTATTCGAACGATACAAACAGATAATCCAATATCAGAAGAGTTATACGCCTTCTGAAAGAAAGGCGAATAATTAATCCAATTAAATTTATTATATTGAATGAAGAGAAACATGGTTTCAGTGAATCCGATTTTTGCAAAAGATAAAATACTCAGTGCATATGTTAAACATATTGACTTATTTAAAATGAGAACCCTGAAAATGCTCAAATACATAAAGCGTAGAGACAGACTTTTTATATCTTTATGCTCTCATGAGGCTCCATTCTTACAGGCTTCGACATGAAGGATCAGACTTACTGATTCCTATTGGAAAGGGATCTCCTAACAAATTATGAGACAAAACTAAAGTGGAAGGAGTAAAAACCGAGTTCTATCTCTGAATATTTAAGTAGTCAAACTCCTACGACAGATGTATTAGTAATTGAAGATCTAGCTCAAGATTCCACTCTCTGACTACTATTACCTTCTAATTTTTATTTTAGGCGGACAATTGATCTTCCACTCATCGTAATTGTATCAGTGAATGCAGAGAAGTAGTAACATAACATTAAAACGCATAAAATTGACAAGATAAGTAGTCTCCGTGAAATAATCAGCAGGAATATAATCCATTAATTATAAATCATAGAAGGGGCTGAGAACGCTCAATCAACACTTGGAATGACTTGTTGCTCTACGAATTGTGACAAGATTATCCTATACTATTTAAATTTTCCGTTTGCTAGCCAAAGGACGAGTGTACTATGAAGAAGTTCGCTCCGTCCTACTTTGTGGCTGCGAAACATGGCCAGTCAGAGTAGAAGATATTCGTAGGTTACTGGCTTTCGATCATAGATGTCTCCGAAGCACTGCTCGTGTATCATGGGACAACCGAGTATGCTATGCTCTAGTTAGGAAACGGGTATTAGGTAAGGGTGACAGATCAATAGATGAAGTATTGAATCTTCGTCAGTTGGGGTGGTTGGGACATATCTTGCGTATGCCGAACCATCGACTGCCTCGACGAGCTTTGTTTTGTGGTGTAGGAGTAGGTTGGAAGAAAACTAGTGGCGGCCAAACCAAAACATGGCAGAAATCCATGAAGTCACTGACAAGTGGACTAATTCAAGTTTGATAGATGTAGGCTACTTGGTTGGGGCCCACGAGATAATAATAATCGATGGTTAGAGACCTTGAACGACATGGCTTAAAATCGTTTTCGATGGCGTAGATGCATCCATTCTTTGTGTTCTCTCAAATCCTGAACTTCTGAATTCCTCATCACCTTTATCTTCTTCTCCTTAAGTTTATTTCACTAGATTCTACTTCCTGAATAATAATCTTCAAACCCTAATCTCTCTGATTACTGCTAATACTTCTGCTACCTCTACTGCTATGGGATTTGTATTGACAATTGCATCTCTGCGCTAATGTGGTATGGTAACTTGAACTGACGTACGTACGTACGTACGAAGCTCTATGTTGTAGCTGACGGACGTTACTATTGTCATTTAATTTTGTATGGTATATCTAATTATTGCTTTTCTGCACAACGTAAATAACCGTTAATAAATGCATATATATATATATATATATATATATATATATATATATATATATATATATATATAGAGAGAGAGAGAGAGAGAGAAAGAGACAAATACTCATTTATTTTTTTTTAAAAAAATGAGAGCAAAAATTGTTTTCTTTAGAGATTTTTTTTTCATACCATTTTTTTTTCTATTTCATCTAATTTGAAATTCTTATTGTATCAGAAAAAAGATAATGAAGAAAGAAAATGTTAAAAGTTATAAGTGTATTGTTTGTAAATAAAATTTTCTGTTAAAAAAAAAAATTGTATAATTAATAAGAAGCAGCACAATTAAACATCATATATATCATTCATTCATTATGCTTTTTTCACAGTGATAATATTGTTTTGTTTTTTTTTAGTTTTATTGAAATGAAATGACAAAGTCATCATTTCATATTGGATTCCCCTTATGCTGGATAGAATAATACAGAGTTCATCATAATGAACATCATACAAGATGCAGGTGAAGTTCCAAAGACAATAATAATAATAATAATAATAATAATAATAATAATAGATAATAGATAAAAGATAATAAAATTAATAATAAAATGAATTGACAATATGAAACAAGGACAAGTCTAAACTGACAACATCTACAAAATAATAATGAATATATATATATATAGAGAGAGAGAGAGAAGAGAAAGAGTAAAAAAATCACAATCTATCTATCTATGAAGACGATAAAATACACTTTACTGAATGAAAATAAAAAATAATAAAGAGATTCTTTTTTAAACTTTCTGATTATCTGATGATCATGATGATGATGATGATGATGATTAGAAAGCAAGTGTTTCATAATCAATCTACTTCCAATTGTGTTTGTGTGTGTGTGTGTGTGTATTTTTATTGAATTTTAACAACAATCTCATGAAAATTATGATGATAACGAAGAAATAGTCGATGAATCCAATGATGGTACAACTTTAAATGCTTTACTTGGTAATATAAGACGTAGAAAAAATTCAAAAATAATTAAACTAATTAAAATCAAATGAATACAAAAATATATACTAGACCAATAAGCAATGGTAGTTTCCCAGTCTAATATTAAAAAACCCATGGAACAATATTCGAACACGCGCATTTTTAATAACCATGAAATAAATGTTACACTACCAGTTGGTAAACTGTTTATGCATAAATTCATTAGATTTTTTAAACTCATTTCAGCAACTAATGCAAGTGGAATAATTAGAAAGGATAAATAATAACCTGCATGTAAACCATGCCAATAAGCACTAACAAGCATTGTCCAAAATGTTCTGTAAATAAAAAAAAATTGATATATAAAAGAAACGAATGATTGACACGGACATATATATATATGTATATATATATATATATATATATATATATAATTAGGGAGAACACAAAGAGTGGATGCACCTGCGCCATTGCAAACGAATCTGAGCCATGTCTGAGTGATGGTAACGCCACCGAGGAGCTTGTTCAACTCTTCGTCGTTTCGGATGGCCAATTGACGGTGGCGTGGGATGATACGGGTCTTCTTGTTGTCAAGAGCGGCGTTGCCAGCCAACTCGAGAACTTCAGCCGCCAGGTATTCAAGAACAGCTAGCTGCCAGGTAAACAGGGGCACCAGCACCGACGCGTTCAGCGTAATTACCTTTGCGAGGCAGACGATGAACACGACCAACATCGGTGACTTTCGTCTCGCTGACCCCAACCATGTAGCTTACATCTACCAACATGACTCAGTCCACTTGTCAGTGACTTCATGGATTTCTACTCCTACACCACAAAACAAAGCTCGTCGAGGCAGTCGGTGGTTAGGCATACGTAATACATGTCCCAACCACCTCAGCTGATAAAGCTTCACTACTTCATCTATTGATTTGCCATCCTTACCTAGAACTCATTTCCTAACGACAGCATTGCTTATACGGTTGTCCAGGATATACAAGCAATGCTTCGGAGACACGGATGATCAAAGACTAGTAACCTACGAAAGTCGTATACTCTTAAGGGACATGTTTCGCATCCATATAGTAGGACGGAGAGAACTGCTGCACAGTACACTCGTCCTTTGGTTGGCAAGCGGATATCTCGCCTGCGCCATAAGTGATGCAGGTTGGCAAAAGCCAATCGAGCCTTCTGTATCCGAGCTGAGATTTCATCAGTCACCAGTCCATCAGCCCTGTTGAGACTTCCCAGATACGTGAAGCGGTCACCACGCTCGACTACTTCACTCCCTGTTACTAGTTCAGGTGCTGATGCAACCCATTCTTGAAGAAACATTTTGCATTTCGAGGGTGAGAACCGCATATATATATATATATATATATATATATATATATATATATATATATATATATATATATACGTAAGTCTTAAAAGATTTACTAGACAATTTTCAAAATTACTGACGAATTCAGTCATAAGACACGTAGAGTCTGGGACATATTTGTATCCAATCCAGTTAACACACCATATAAGCAATGATGGATGAAATTATTAGGATGAGTACTACATTAACAGCAGTCAGCCAGTCAGTCAGTTACAACGTAGAACCTCGTACATAGATCAGTTCAAGTTGCCATACCACATTACCACAGAGACACAATTGTCGATTTAAATCCCCCCATATTAATAGAGGTAGTAGAAGTATCGGCAGTTATAAAAAAGATTAATGATCGAATATATCATTCAAGGTGTACACCTCAAAGGAACCAGTTAAGAAAGAGAGAATGAAACGGTCATGAGGAATTCAGATGATTAGGATTTGAGAGGACACAAAGAATGGATACACCTGCGCCATTGCACAGGGTTTTAAGCCATGTCATCATTCAAGGTTTCTAAACATCGGTTACTGTTGTCTCGTGGACCTCATCCAGGTAGTCTCTACACTTACCAACATGGCTCAGTCCACTTGACAGTGATTTCATGGATTTCTGCTATGTTTTGGTTTGGTCGCCTCATAGTACAAATAAAATGGCTAAGATAAAATATTCAAGCGCTAATTTTCCTAATTGAAAAAAAAAACGATAAAATTAAATGAATAACCGGAATGAATCACTTGCCGTATATTTCTTGAAGCTTTGCAACGTCTATAAACATAAGTGGCTAACCAATATTGCACTGAACAATTCCATGATCTCATAGTTTCACGTACTGTAGGAGCGAATTCACACCCCCATACACTTAAATTGCATATTGTGTTGTAATTATACATTACATTGGTCTTTGACTTCTGTTCGAAATTTGATTTATTTTTCAGATTGGAATGAATAACAGAATGATCATGGTTAGACTGGTTTAGAACATTGTTTAATTTCATATCATTAGCTGTTTGTTGTTCCATATACCTAGTGTAAATAAATAATGTACAATAAAACAGAATAACAAAATGCAATAAAAAAAATATTACTTTAAATCTAAATGAATGTCAATCACTATAAAATAGTTACGTTTTTGAATGAGAACAACACATATAAGCGAACAATATTGTTTTCGATTAGATCGTCATCAGGCTTTACTCTAATATACATGAATATTTATATGAAAATGTTAAACCAATCAAGGCAATTTGAGTGATAATCACAATGAAATGAAAAAGGCAAAAGTACAAGTGGATAGTAGGAAGACAGAGGTGTAGTGATAGTAGTAGGAAAATTTATAAAATATGATAACTAAGGTAGGTCAAAGGTGGATGAATAGAATTCAAATAATCATCAAAAAACATCAAAAACATTACGTAATAAGCAGATGTGTAGAAATAATAAAATTAAAATAAATAAAAATATATATGTCAATCGTTAGTTACGTCATATCTGGCCACGGAAGAGATAGGGGTGTCATGAATTTCTTCTGAACACATAAATTAGGGTTGAATGTACGTATTCCTATGGCTTCTGCAATGTGTAGGAGACGGGATCGAACTCCGTTGGGAAATGATGGAGGTATACGATAGATCACTCGAAAAGATCTAGATTTATCTATAATGTGACCGCTATCTACCAGGTGTGCTAAGATAGAACTGCGTATTGTTTTTGACTGACCCTTTGTAAACCATGCTGAGAGATGTTCACTCATTCGTTGTGTAAGTTGCCTGGAAGTACGCCCGATATAGCTATCTCCACAGGAGCAACTGAATTTGTAAATGCACATAGAGGAGGCCAACTCAGGTAACATCCTTCGTTTGGGTAGACATAATATAAATATTCATGTATATTAGAGTAAAGCCTGATGACGATCTGATCGAAAACAATATTGTTCGCTTATATGTGTTGTTCTAATTTTCACAATGGGAATTTTTTTAATTATTAAAATATGATCACAGTATTTATGGGTAGTATTTTGACAATGAAATAATACCACAGGAAGACTTCAAATACGAATAAAACCGACTTAACTAAGACAAGAATGTTATAAACAACAGATTGATCGATTGTTAAAGTTTTAAATTTTTTGGATGTAGAATAATTATTGAAAACTTTCGAAGGCCAATTAATTAGTTGTGAACTACAATGCTTTTTGTTAATTTGTTTACTACTACTGGGGATCATACATTCAATATTATTATGACCATGAGATGAACTGTTCACTTCATTTTAATTTAAATCAACCGGAGGCGTCCCCCAATGAATGTAATAAGCTAAGATGGTAGGAATACATATTTCTTAATGATCTTTGACAACATTATTACGCTTAATAAAACATTGAAATAGAAAGACTTTAATCTTGATAACAGGATGAAAAACATTAATGAGGCGGATGGCTACACAGATCAACAAGGTCAAGGTTTATTAAATAATATGAATGGCAACATATTTGTACACATGAATATTTGTTTATTACTCAGCACAAACACAGTTAGGGCGTGGTCATATTACAGTCGGTAATTAAATGATTACTTCAAAGATCAATCAGCATATTTTTACAGTTTTGTCTCCGAGATAGATATTTATTACTATGTGTGACGTTCAGTGCACTGGATTTACAGTATAAAGAATAGATTAGAGAAATAATCAAGTTTGTTTGGCAATGAACACCTAAGACTATTTAGTTGGTAAGGCCGAAATTTGTGAAAATTATGAAAAGTTAAGAGCAACTGAAAACACAGACTACTCAACTATCTCATATATTGTGATAATACATATATTAGAACGAAATGGGTCAAACAACAGTGTATACAAATATATGTTTGCGTTATCATTAGAGTTTACACTTTAGCTAAATGGTTGTTAGTTTAAGTTATATATCAGCATGAAACATTAAGTTCCAAAACATACATCGTGAAAGAGTGCAGAAACATGATGACCTACAAATATGATATTTTATCGATCATAAACGAACTCATTAATTAACAAGACCTCCTAAGCTAACTAGCTCATAAGATGCGTAATACTGACCAATCCGATATTATGATAAAAACAGCGAGCGATTCAACACTCTCTGATTATCAATGTTACCTGGAGATATATATATATATATATATATATATATATATATATATATATATATCTGTGACGAATACAATCCATAAAACATAATATATATTTTGTATAAATTACAATATAAGAAACCAAATAAAATTGATAAAAAAAAATCTTCATATAACTTACAAATCTAATGCATGTAGATTAGTTGGTCCTCCACCTTTTTCAGGTTCAGATAATTTAGGATATGCACCTAAACTAGCAGACATACATACGCATTCAGACATTTTCCAAGCAAAATAAATTCGCATACGAAAAATAAAGAAAATAATCATCATATAGAAAAAACGATACACGAAATGTCGATCATAAAATTCTGTTCCACGTACATACTGAAAATAATGAAAGTGAAAAGAAAAAAAACACACGGTGAACATTTAAATAGTTTGAAATTTATACAGACAGGTTACTACTGTGTTGAATATGTAGAACAATGTAATATATAAAGCTTGAACTGGCATAATTATGGACATGAATAATGTACGATAGAACAAAGTACTTGAATAATTCAAAGACGTTTCAAATTAATTCCTCTAACACTTAGAGCTAAGACTCATATTTTAGTTAAGTTATTGATTGACAAATACTTCATATCTTCATAATTTACCAAGTATGACGTTTTGCATAACATGGAGTGAGTGATCAGAAGGTTTAACTACTGGGAATCCTATTTTTTAAACTACAAGTTAATGCAGATAAGTTTTAAAAAACGTGGGTATTTAAATGAGAAACGTACACTAAACGTTTATACATACCTCAACTTACCAAATGTTTTTTGCTGTGCAGTGAATGGAGCCATGAACTAGTAGTTAGATGGATCAATTTTGAATTATTGTGTTGAAACCTCAAAATTCGCTGCATTTATTTCAGAATTTGAATAGCCCCCGAATTACATAGTACGGCCGGAGGGTGTCAAGAGCCCGCTCTCTCTCGAAATGTTATCACATGGCCACACGTATATTGTCACTAACAAGGAAGTCCCACTCATTACATCATTTGGGTGGGGGTGTTTTTGTGAAACCGAGAGGACAAAAGGCGAGTTTCTGGTGGTTTAACCGTGTCGATGGGTGAGGAGGGTCTACCCCAGGGAAGTTGGGAAACCCTGATTTCAAACTAAAAGTGCATGTGGGCTCCAGGATATTGAGGGGACAGGTGACGTATGAACTTATTGTCTGTCACCAACTACTATGGGACTGAATCTCCTTATTTTGCTCCATTGCATTGTGAATTAAGACTTTTGAGTCAAAGGCTTGAGGTGTAACTCTTAAAAAAACCACCTGTCTCGGTTTTGGCGTCTGAGAAATATCTCAACCTACTCATATATTGAGTAATTTGTGCGGCACATACATATTTAGGTGCCTCTTTTAGCAATGTTCATGTGTTTAAATAAATAAATAAGCTGGACAATATTAACCCATAAACAAAGCATTAGGCTTAAAGCATGGGACATGAACTTTTATTTAGCTACAGAATTGCACCATTTTATTGTGAATAAGATGTTTATATCACTATTATGTGAAAACTTATCACAGTAAGATTACAAATATAATCAATGTCCGTACGTATTAACACAACACTTACGTCAACAGTATAAAAGTGAGAAAGTATTAAATAAGCTACACCAAATGGAAGAGCTTCTTGAAGGTGTTGGAGAAGAGGTTCTTCTACAGTTATTTCGGTTTTAGAATCCCAATTGCAAAAGTCTTCAAATGTTTTCATATTGTAATACGGGCCTAAAAATGAATAGGACGAAACTTTTGCAAAGGCTTTTTTTCGAACATAATTCAAAAATAGTTGCTAAACATTTCTCAAGATATTGCAGAGTTAGACCGAAGGTTCACAGATAGATTGTCGCTTGTAGAATCGTGGATGCGCACTGCTTAAGAGTCTCATAATAGAAAAAATCGCCGTTCAATGTTCTTAGGTGTTAAATGGTGATTCAACTTAGATCAGTTCATGATTTCAACGAAATTTAACAATCACTACATTTCGTACTGAGAAATTCAAAAATACTTGTATCTCAACCTTTACGTATATTCAACTTTAGAACTTGAATCTACAGTAAATGTTTCATTAACTCCAAATAACTGACACTGTTATCAACTGGAACTTATTTGTGTTAAGTTTTCGATGTCCATTAGTTTCATTTCTTCATTAATATTACAATCAAAAAGAATCTTACAAAATTAGATGTTTGATAGTTGATAGGTCATAGTAACTCAATACATCTAAGCTTTTAAATAAAACAGTGGTCTAAACTTTTTTAAAAGGAGTAGAAATATTGCACATATGTCTACACCAAACATGAGTAATGGACTGGTAACTCAATGGTCGATAATCAAATTTCTGAAATTATGAATCGGTCTTAACAATAAATGAAGGTGGTTAGCTTAACTCAGGGAATAGACACCCTGGGTGGTGTTTGACTTAATTAACCGTGATGCATATCCATATTTATGAATAAGTTTGTGAACATACTTTAATCAGGTGAGGCATTAAAGATCCTTTTTCATCCATTATTTTTTCACTCAAGATGCACGTTGGGTCTGCATATAGGGAGCGTGCACAAGAGTATTGAAACCAAAAAGCCACCAAAAACATTTTATAAACACGAATTATACCATTTTACATTAAACACGACCAAAACTGCTTACCAGTAAACAAACCAACGTAGCAGTAGGCATATGACATAATCATCAGTGGAGAAGGCTCGATACATTTATATTTCTTGATAAGTTTAAGTTTGCCTTTATCTTGTGGTTGTAAGTCAGAACTTAATAATTGATTGTTTATCCGCCAACTATCACTTATTTCAAATGATGCGCCGATTAACTAAAAAGCAATTCAGTAATTATAGATTAATAAACGTGAAAATACGTACACGTAAGGTTAATAAAAGCTGCACAATATTAACGACAGGAGTAACCTGAGCGAATCCGAAATAGTGGCAAGTTCGAAAGAATCCCAAGTAACCAAAGCACCATATAACACCTATGTAATGTAAAAATCTTGAGACAAGGCAACTATTATTATCATTAAAAAAAATACCTTGTAGGGAAAATAATAAAGGCCAATGTGAATACAGATGTTGTAAGCAGTGAATGCCATACAGCTTGACCCACAAAGCAGAAAAACATTAAAAACCCCACAACAGCTGACAACCAAAGTCGATGTTTCCCACATCTTTGGATTAATGGCCCAATTACAAGAGACAATATAAGTACTAGTGCATATATTATATCGTCTGGCGTCATGGTTTATATACTAAGATGATTTATACACACATTGACAAGTCCGAATCTCTTGAAGATAACTGAAAAGATAATAGAACGAAAGGTAACAGAAGTGAATGATCAAATATGACAAATAATTTTAATAAAATTTAGGTAAACAACGTTAGGCCATACTAAAAATCTATACCAAGGATAATAAAGATAAGTTCGTTTAAATCTAAACAAATAGTTTCACAGTTACTGGATGCCAAGTTATTGTCGAATATAAAGGAGGAAAACTTTGTAAGTCTCAGAGATTGAACTAAAGATGGTAATAAGGATAACAATGCGACTATTGACTGCGTTTTATAATCTTAACCCTGCAAAGGTAGAATTTAACTTCACCAACACCAAGCCTTTTAAAATAAGAGAATCAACTCAATATAGTTGAGGAGTTATTACGGAAACAAAACTGAATAGATGGAGAGTAGAAAATGTTAAAATTAGACTTACTTGATCAAGTAAAATATTGATGGTAATGAAAACGAGTGATCAGATGTAGTTTTATGAGTTGCGCTTTAATATTCACTTAAACAGAGACAAATACACTCTCAGTGTAGAAAAAACTAAGTTTTGACAATATTGGCCGATGAAACTGGTACGAATTCAAACTCCATTTAACCGAAAATATATAGGCTATGAGTAAGGTGGGGAAATGCACAAACAGGTGAGAAAATCCTAGGAAGTCGTTAGGAATTTCTGTCCTTTACAAAACTTCATTACACCAGTAACATTTCCAGGTGTAGAAACATAGATTTATAAAAATAAACAGTATTTAGTTACTATACTGTAGAGCCTAAACTTCGGAACGAGAATTAGTTTATTAATGAAAGTCTCGTATGGTTATTCGTTTCTATGAATTTTAATAAATCAATTTATGAGGAATACTATGAGCTCATTTTATTTCGTAGGTCCTCTTCAGCTGCTTACATTGACACTCGTATTAAAATACAACAATATTATTTATTGGACATGATTGACTCAATATTTCTCACTCACTAATGTTCATTTTACAGTCGTGTTTTATTTCCATATGAATACGAATGAAAGTATCTAATAATAGGAAATAAAATCAGCCTATATTATTTTATACTAATTTTTGTTATTGATTTATTCATATGGCTTTATTGCTGTATTATTAAAGTCGGTCATATTTTAAATTTTTTCACTGTAACTCATTTACTGTGAATAATGCAATGCCCTTGACTCTGAACCACACCGTTTCTATTAGTCATAGTGGTACTCGGAACCAAAGTACATGATGCGACGTTTAAGAGTGCAAACTGTAGGTTGAAAGTCAAGTGCACAGACCACGAATAAAACCACACCAGTGTTTCTTAATACTAAGTGGTTATATAAAAAAGTGAAGTGAACGATAAATATTTATGTTGTGAGTATTAGTCCACAGCTGATATATGGCTATAATTATTGAACCAATATACCTTAACGTTACCAAAGCACAATGTGACACTTGGTTTCTGAAGGACCTAAAATGAGAAGTCTATCGATTTGCAAAGAATCCGGTGCATCGATAATTAAAATGACCGTAACCTGCACAGATAACCCCCGTCATCGGCGATGGTACCACCTTACAAATGACGCGTTAGGAAATATTCGAAAAATAGAATACTCATACTACTCGATTTTGACATATTATTCCCTAAAACCAAACTTCCAACTAAATATTGCGGCTTTCTAGGCCGTCTGTCAAACACTTGAATGTGTATTAGTTGCCATACTTTGTACTGATACATATTCTCATGAATAGTAAAACCAGGACTGATAGTACCAGTGAAGCCAAAGGGAATGAATTAAACTAGGGAACTACGACCAAAAAGTGAGTTGTATCACACAAAATTGATAAACAAAAGTTACCAACACCACGCAGCCCTTAGCTAAATCGACCAGTATGACTCATTTTGACACTAAGGGACTGTCTACTAAGGTGTTGTTCTTTGCCACCTTTAGACTACTTTAAATACCTTCGGATGGACAAGCTTCACCAAAGCATTGTATCTGACTTGATAAAAAGGGTAAAACCAATGGCCAGATTACAGATATTTTGCAAATCTAACCTACTTTGACAAGTGAAGACTCTGCAAGTGAAGGAAAACATTAACTACAAATACTAAAAAGTTGCAAACGCCTTTGGATGAAAAAAGGCTTCTTAACAGTCATAAGCAGAATAATAACAGAATTTAGGACCCATTTTAAAAACAGGAGATGCAAAAGCATGGAAGCATGATCACACTCGTCTTCAAGAACTATTGACACTAACAAAGATCACAAAAACCATAGTTCTATTCAAGTTTTTTTTGCTACTTGGTGATTATTTTTTTATGGCAGGTCAAAGTCAAAACAGAAATAATAAATACAATTTATGAAAACCTGCATAACTCCAACAACGACCAAATTACCGCCTTTAGGACAAATCAAATTATGGCATTAACTCACAATGCACTCTAGATTTTATGTATTATAACAACATCGTGCATCATCAACACAAACAGTCTTGTAACTGTTTTTCGAGTTCAGCTTTATCGGAAACACACAAACTTGACTAATATTTGAAAATATAGGCATTATTTGCAGTTGTAGTATGCTTCCCGAATCTAATACATTGTCTCGGATATAATATATAACCACGTCACATACGGAGAAATGAAATCAACTAGATACATAGGATTCTTAAGGCCGAGTTCTATTTCCATGAAGTGCGTGGGCTCGAAAATTCCCAAACTCGATGTTACGTTCAAAAACACAAGCAGTTTTACAGACAACTTTTCGTATAATAATGAATGTTCTATTAAGTTAATTCACTGCTCTCATCTTTTCAATAACACTGTTAGAGTAAAATCCTACAGATGATAATATATTCCTCCCAAAATAACAGCGGGTTACAAGAGGCACGCCATTTCACAGGTCATATCAAATTGTTACAACTGCTACCACATGTAATGTTAGATTAATAATTAGAGTCTGTTTCTGACAGCTAATTTATACAATGTCACCAACAGGAACAGACTGACACAGCCTCATTTTCAATTAAGGATTCTCAAATATGGTAGGTATACAGCAGAGTTCCAGGGTGGTTCGCATATTTTAGAGGTGAATTTATTGGGAACAGTCGAATGGAAGACGCTTGATATAAGCTATGACCTAGATGTGCAGGTAGGTAAGATGTATTTTGCATATAAGCAATATGGTTGTTCCTCTGAGGATAGGGTTCTGAAATAAGACAAAGAAAAAAACCGATGAGGCTACCATATACATATAACCAGGTGATTTCCTAACAGTTCATGATGGAGGAGTCAAAGCAATAATAAGTCAAGAAGAATTTCATACATGTAGAATATTTTTTGAAGGCCTTGTTTTTGGAAAATCCCTCCATGTATACATCTTTGTGTTATGATCTGACTGACTCTTTCTGTTCGATATTTCGGCACTTTATTTGGTCCCATTTTGGGATTTTATCATTTGTATCTGCGTGCGGGACATGGGAATCCTTCGAATTCGTTTGCACCTACTCACGCCCGGAACTTAAGCTAGTTGTTAATTGTATTAACAAGGTAAATCCTCCTGAAGACCGAGCATGTAAGCTTTATGATGTAAAATCTTTTGACGGCTATCCTAGTGAGAAGTCAGTATCTGTAGAAGATAAGGTGGCTTTTTTGAGGATGACGAAGAAGGAAAATGGCAGAAAGGTTAGGAATCAAGACGGATCCAATGTATGTGATGTTAGAAGTTTCCTAACTGCTCGAAATGCAAAGAATGGTAATTTGGATTCGAACAAACAGAGGTTAATGGGTGCAGTGAATATAAATATGGTCGAAACAGGTTTGACTGTATGGAATGAAGCTTACGTTCGGAACCCCTCACGTAGGGTAAATTATTTGACACGACCTAGAGCTGATCCTAGGATAGCAAGTGTAAACAGTAACACAGCACTTCATGTTGCTGCGCGATCAGGATGTCTGTCGACTACTGTATCTAGTTTTACGGAGTATCATGATAGTGAAGCGAAAGACAACAGCAGCTTAGCGCGTCCTGCTGATATTTGTTCGCAGTCAGCTGATGGACGGTCGTATACTAGTCCAAGTAGTCATAGCAATATTGATAGTGTTAGTGTAAGTGGCAGCAGTGGTAGCTTACCATTAAAGCCTGCACGCGAACTATCTCGCAACTCGTCATTAACTGTGAAGAGTCGGAACATCAGTGTGGACAACAACAACAACAACGTCAAGGTTGAGGTGAAACCTCACGTTTCTGTTAATAGTGTGATAGATGTAAATAATAAACGTGATGGTAACGATAGTGGAATCTCTATAGGTAGTGCAGTTTATTCGGTTTCTGTTACTAATGTAGCTTCCTCGAGTACTACAGATCAAGACGAAATTAGATGTTTGAATGTGGAGAATGTAGGCGACGGTGGCAATAGCGTCAGCCACAGTAATGGCAATACTGAGAGGGCTAACATTTAGTGCCCTAGGTGCAGTGAGGAGTCATCTAGGTTTCATGGACATACTGTTGTGTTGAATATGCAGCGTGAAGAATCGAGTATGGAATTGTCCATCTGTTGCACTCCATCATCTTTGACTTGTACTACAAGTATCGGGATGAGCACTACTAACAGGGATAAGACAGATGAGGTGAAGGACATTCCTAGTATGGAAAGCAAATTTGATCGAGTAGAGTTGGACACTGTGCATGAGTCAAATGGATGTCATGAGAAGTGTACTACTACTTCTACAGCTGCGGCTACTAATGATAATAGCATTGATAATACTCCTGCGGGTAATAGTGATGGAGGGAAGTTGAAAGACACTCATCGTTGTGGTGGTGTTTCGTTCTCTGAGCTGGTTGTTTTGGTTGTGGAGCTTTCATTGTTCTTCTGAACAACATCATCAGCACGAACTTCACCACCACAATCATCCACCTGAGTTACAAGTTTTCTCCACCATCTCAAAGACACTCATCGTCTT